GCGAATCCAAGGACTCGCAAGCTTCTGCCCAAGTGGGTAGGACCGTTCGAAGTGATCGAACTGGTGGGCAAGGTCGCTTATAAGTTGAAGCTTCCACCAAATCTCAAGATGCATAACGTGTTTCACGTTAATCTTGTGAAACCCTACAGAAATGATGGCAAAGTGCAGCCGCCTCCACCACCCATCGAAATCGATGACTCAATTGGAGTATGAGGTCGAAAGAGTACTCGACGACCGCAAGATTAAACGCGGAAAAAGCACCAAGACAGAGTTCCTGGTCAAATGATTAGGTTATGGGCCCGAGCACAATACCTGGGAACCAGAGAAGAACCTTACTAACTGTAAGGATATTCTCGAAGAGTATTGGGTTTATGTGGGTTAGTTTCGGAAAGGTGTACCCGAGCCCGCCCAAGCTCAGGTGAAACCTGCTAAGGCTAAGAAGCCGAAGCAGAAGGTTGTCACCAGGTCAGTTCGTAAGGCTGCCAAGAGGGCACGAACGACCTGAGAGTTCTTGTAAACCAACTCTCAATTGGTTTCTGACAGAAATATTGTTTAAAGTTTTGCAGGCTCTGTGACTACGAAGTTCGCGCGGCCGCGTCAGCCGTCCCGCCGACCTTCTACGAGCTGCCTACCACCGTCGATCTGCCACGTGTCATGATCAGGTGGGCTCCTCTGCTGTGTTCTTGGACCCACAATGTCACAGAAGTCAGAAAGTTGTCTTTATATATTTGCGTTAGTGCTTCGTAGTCAGCACGGGCAAAGAAGATAACTGGCACCGGCAACTTGAAGTTGCTAGCCACCACGCACACTCCCAAGTGGGACAATCTGAGCTCGATTCCTTTTGGAACGAAGCGTAAGCGGAACCAGGACGGAACAGTCAAAGAATCGACGGTGGAGATCCAAGTGGACCCACAAACTTTCTGGATGAAGTTGTCGGACTTTAAATACCAGATTGTAAGAGGATCAGAGTATCGACCAGGGTGTTGGTCAGTTTGGATGACCTAGCGGGTTACCATGCTTCCGGCTTGCATCACCGGTTAGTACCCCACTCGCCCGCTGACGCTCATAAGCCGACCTGAAAGGCTCCAGCTGTACGGGCTGGCCTAGTAGGGCGCAGAGTATTGCGGCAGGCTTCGTGCCGTAAGGGGGACCACCGGGGTGTAAGATGATACTCGGATCCAAGCTCAGATTACCGGGTTCGAATCCCGGGGCACCCAATCTCTTGTTCCGTACGCATGTGCGTTCGTCAAAGGGTGCATGGCTGTGATAATGCAGTCTGTAATCAGCTAAGTAACGTCGATTCCGGGTTATAAGCTTAAACTTGATTAGCCTCGACATAGGACGAAGTTCAGGATGAACTACGCCCTGCACTTTTGCTGTCGTAAGGGGACTACGTTGATTCCCGATTATAAGATTGTTGAGAACAAAACCTGCCCGTCATCGGTCAGTAGAAGGATGGTCTAAAGCCATCCTTTTCCTGACCAATGGCGTCAAACTTTTGCTGAGGTCAGTAATTGGGTTGAAAGTTTTGTTTGCACAAGACTTATCAACCATTGGTGAGTAGGAAGTTGGGTCAAAAACTTGAACCATCTTTCTCCTCCCCAATGGCACACACACTTTTGCTGAGGTCGGCAAGTAGTGCCCCTTTTAACTAACGTTCAGTTACGAAATATAAGTTTATTTCGGAACGTTTGGGGCAGGGCAAATGTGGACTAAAGGGTGGCCTGAGCAGTATACTCAACGCACCAGACACCCGCACTCCACGCAGCCCCTTTTGCTAACGTTAATCTATATGTTTATTTTAACGAGACAAGTGTCAGGGTCGGCTTAACAAAGCATCTGGGCAAACCGCTCAACGCTGAGTTCGTCGACTCTTTTTGCAGACATCATAAGTTTTTTATGTCTAACTCGTATTGTTTGGCTGTAACCAATTTAGTTAAAAATAGGGTTACACCGCCAAACAATGCCCTAGTTGACGTTGCATAAGTCTGCTGAACTCAGCGTGATTTCATCGGATACCAACACGGCAAAGTTCAAACCTCGTGAGGTTGACTTTTTGCCGTCGATGATCTTTTAAGTTCCGCGGTCAAGTCTGCGTCGCTCGATGCGTCGCGCGGAACCGGAATTAAACCGGCGGTCACTGTCCACCGTACGATCGGACCCACAGAAATTATATCCACTGGTTCCAGTGTTTATAAGGTAAAATTTACTGACTTGTTTCATGGTACAGGGTGACCAGAAGCAAGCCCGGTGCTGAGTGATGGGCTAGGCAGTCTGCTACAGCCCTCACTCAACGCCGGGCCCCGCCTCTCATTGACTTGTACCTTTTGCAGCTCTCGGAGTTTCGCTCTTAAGGGGGGAGGATTGTAACGGCGCTAGCTTTCCGAGCCCTTTGCGGGGATCCCCCGGGTCGCGCGAACTTGTTTCATTAACGCGCAGTGCGGCCGCTTGTTAAACCCCGAGCCAGATCCGCCGTCAGATGGCCGGATCCGGTTGAATTCAAAACGGACATACTGTCTGAGTCTATGCATGTGCACGTACTGCAAGTCTGCGACTCATTATGCATGCAACTCCCAAGAGGGAGCAGGAATGAGACATGTAGTCTCCGGATTCCACCAAAGGTGTAACCTTTACACCACCTTCTCTCTGAGAAGTTTATCACCAGGCGCCTTCGCGCCTCTCCCATGCTCACCAGGAGTAAGAACGTTTCACCACGACCTACCAGTACTGTGGCACGGTAGACCGGTAGCTATAACGGTACTAAGGACATACCGTACTGCAAAAAGGTACGGTACCTTATACGGCACACACTTAAATAATAAGAAAGGACACTGCAACAATACCGCCGGTACCTACCGTACCCAATCTGGTCGCGTGATTGTACCGATCTGGTACGGTATCTGCATCGACGGCTGCGCAACCCAAGTTTGCGGCGAAGCCACTCAACTTCGTTGAATCGTAAAATCTAACAATTGAATAACTTGGTGCCTATGGCCCATCAATCCAGCCTACCGAGTCCTTTCTCGTCTGCATATCAGTGCCCGGTTGTTTTAACCTGTCCTAGTATAAGCAACATTGTAAGGAGTTAAACATAACCAGCAACTCTGACTCAACAAACTCACATAAACCCGCAGGTACTCATGGATGCACCTAACAATGGCAAAGCTCCAACTGGCAACTTGAATACCCCGGAGGGGCCTAATGGGGGCCCCTCAATGGCCGCGGTTGTCAAAGCGGGTGGCGCTGGCCCTGAAAGCACCGAATCCCCCACAGTCACAATAGTCGCCTCCGGCTCGGAAAAACCCCCAACCTTGAAACGGGTCTGGGAAGCAGCTTGCAACCCGGAAAAAGCACAAACCTCGCGTAAGTGGCCGCCCAGTCCCTAACAACCCTCCTAAACGCGGGGTTCAATAGATTCAGTAAGATCGCCGCTGAGAAGGGGCCTTCGGAACGCATTTTTAGCACGGCGGTCCTCAACGAATCCAAGAAATCCGGACAAGAACCCACTCCATTGACTTGCAGATGGGGGCATACGACTTCAAATGCGATCAATCCGATCACTTCATCAAAACCTCGTCAATCACCCTCCACAAACTGAACGTGTGGAAGGAAAATGGCAACCAAAAGCTGGACTACCTCGAACGCACGGTAGCCCAAAACACGGAGGGGATGGCCCACTTGGCTAACCGAGCCAATCAAATCATAGCCCTGTTGAACGACCTGCTCAGATAAGAGCACGGCTGGGCCAGGGCTGCAGTAACCCCCACCCCATCCCATATATGGGTATAGCGGAGCCCCGCCAATGCAGTATTGAGGTGCACCTCAGCCAAACCACGCCCCCGGTCCCCAACAAGGCCCCCCGGTTGCCCAGATCGAAACTCAGATAGCCGCCGTGGCGGAACCGGCCGCAACCACCCATCCCATCCTCCCCCCTCCCCCTCCGGGCGGGCCCTCTCCGGGCCAACAGCCTATCTTTGACCCGAGGCGCTGATCGGACGGCCCCAACCCCGCCCCAAAGCGCATGAAACCGGATGAGGTGCAAACTTCCAAACCCCCTTCCACAAACGGCCCCAACGAGCTTGAACACTCGAAGATTTATCCCCCCGAGCTTATGCTGATTGTCAAGACCACCCCGGTCGGCCGCCCCCTCCCTGATCTCCAGCGTGACATCAAGGATGTCATAATGGAGGCTGGCATTGCGAGTGCCGTCCTTGGAGTGCTCACGCATCACTGGTGGCCGATGTCGCGCGTTGGTGTGTCGCTCAAAACGTGGGCCATGTGTTTCCCCGACATGGGAAGCCTCTGCGCCGGGGAGCGTTTTCTTGGGGACTATGCGGAGAAGCTAGCGCGTCTTGGCCTCGTTGTCGAGAGGTTCAGCTCAGCGCAGTCGGGAGGCGGGGGGAGCAAATTCGCCGCTGGGGCGAACACATTTGGGGTGGGGGTTGGAGCCTCCGCGACTCAGGCGGTCCAGGCGGCTACTGCCGCCACGGGGCATGCGGCCGCTAGATGGGGGGAGCGCAGCCGCGGCGCAAGCCTTCGCGTCCGCAGTGCCCGCTCCAGTTGTGCAGGCGCTCCTGCTGCTGCTCCAGAACTTGCGGCAGGCCAACAAGGGCGGGGAGAAGAAGGGAAACTAGCTTGCCGTAGAACCCAGCATTTAATCAGAGACATTTGATAAACCCTTTGCCTCCGATTGGTATTGCTAAGTGACTTTTATACCCAGTAGTTGCGCCATGATGAGGTAGCATGTCATATTAGTCACGTTGCTTCGTTGTTAGTAACTGCTTGGTAACTAGCTATAGAAACATTTTTTGATGAAGCCTGAACTCCGAAATTGCTTGTTTCTGCGCCATGGGCCCAGGTGCCTAAGCGTGTTTAAAAAGAAGTGACCATGTATCATGTCATGAGAAGCCTACGGCCTATGTGGCTGAACTTTTAAAAATGAAGACAAAACCTTTTCACTTTCAAAAAAAGAGAAAGGTTGTTGATTTGGTCGTACAAATGAAGGTTCCTCCACTCTTGCAGACAGCCGCAAAGATGCTAACATATCTTTGTCTAAAAGGTAATGACCAAAGCATCTGAACGAACAGACTGCAAAAGTGGCGGGGTCAGAATTGCATTCAAGTTCAACCTACATCACCCTACTTTTCTCCCAAGCCTTCATTTCAAACTGGCGGGCACAATTAGAGCCACATTTTCCCGTTATACAAATATGACCTCGAGTTTAGGACAAGGATGTGCTTCCAAGAACTCTCGAAATTGACTATCTGATGTGAATGATGCATTTCCCTTGAGGGCGTCCATTAACGTTGTGCCAACAGGATAGAGTTTGTATATATTCCACTTTGTCCAAGCAACACCTAGCTCTTGCCGTTTCTCTACCCATGTCGGTTTATACTGGTCCTTATCGAATGTTGCATAGACGGCAGCATAGACTGCTTGTATGGTAAGGTCAATTAAGAAGACCGAGCGATAGTAGAACCTGCCAGTCTCACGTACGTACAAAAGGTGCACATCGTCTTCAATGTCTCCCCAGCTCGACATACGGAACCAGCTTGAAGGAGGTCGAATCCTCCCGGCTTTACACGTGCAAGGAAACTTTTGCACCATACTTCTTGATTGGGCTCTTGCAGAGTAGTCCACGTTGGAACCACTTACATGATTCCAAGCACTGAGTGTTTCCAAAGAAGCTTCTGATTTTGTGCCCGGACGCTTCCGTTGGTCCTCTTGTGCTTCGAGTCTGGTTGCAATGTGAATGCAGAGACGGCAAGTGTGGTGGACGCCTGAAATATCAGCGATAGCCTTGAAACTGTTGGGGGCCTCTCGCTGTTTCCAGGCAAGCATTGCCTGCAGAGCACGTAAAACCTGAGTTTTAAAGAGCACGTCGGACTTGATATACCATCCCCACTGGCGAAATGTTGGCTCCAACTTGGACGAATAGAGATGCCTAGGCAAGCGGGCCCGACTACCACCCGTGAAATCAAGCTATCGGAACTCGGTCGAGCCAACTTTTCTCGTTTTTCCGCACGCCGCGCAGACCAGTCTCACACCGGTTTTGAGATTCGATGTTACACGTGCAAAATCGCCTCGCGAATTAAATCTGCCGTACGCGGCCGACATCATGCGGATGCATCCTCTTGGAACCAAGACAGCCCTACCTTTTGAGACAATGATTGGATTGCACAGTAGCAGAACGAGTTTCAGATTCTAATCTAGTTGCTCCTGGGCCGCAATGAGATGGAGGTGCATCGCAGCTGCGAATTTACTAATCTTACAAAGGTACGGAAAAACAGACATGCCGGTGGGTAGCAGACTTAAGTGAAGACTTGTTGATACAGGACGCAAATGCAATTACCAAAAGATTTCAGAGAGGTATGGCATAGTTGTCAGCCTTGCAGTTAGGTTTAAGAATATAATTGGAACCTGCTTGACTCAAGGTCAGAGGAGAAAGAACTTTCATCAGAAAAACATGCATTGAAAGCAAACCTGCTTCTAAACTTTGCACATTCCAAACCGGCGGAGGACCTGAGTCCAATCCCATTGGCACAGCATGCCAGGGTGCCCCCTGTGAATCTTGAAGGGTCGGACGACTGGATCCGAATGCTACAAAGGCAACAGGAGCCTTACCTCGTAGGCAGACCGGTTCTGCATCAAGAACTTCATCCTCTCCACAACTGCTGGAACATCCTCTAAGCTATCCAGGTAGAGGTACGACTTTGGGCTTGGCATATAGTCGGCAATATTTGGAGCACCAATGACAACCGGTACACTGCCCGCGGTCAGTACATGATACAGCTTTTCCGTAACATAGTCAGGCCACCGACTGTTCTCAAAGGTTAAGTAGAACATGTATGTTCGTGCAGTTACAATCTTCTGATTCCACCAGGGATCAGTGCTTTCGACGTCGTCTGAAATGGCAATAGAAAGAAACTGTGTGAGGAAAAGTGTTCCCAATCAATTTGTGAAGATGGATCGTGGTCTCAAGGGCATTAACCAGATTTGACCAACCCTGAACTCCAACATGAGACACCCGGAAACAGTATCGCCGCCTATAGAAACTTCTAATATTAAAAATGCTCTATGGGTACTGAAATGATGCAAAAAACACTGAAAAGACCAGACGTGCGCGAAAGTTAAGATCAATGAATGCTTGACAATATTGAGACAGGCCCAAGAGGAGTCATAGCAGAGAAAGAAAACGACGTGACCTTGGAGTTCCAATTGAATTCGCATGTCTGCCACCACACAGAGGAATTTATGTAAAAGCGACTACTGCAATGAGCAGGAAGCAGTCCAATCTGAAACCTCATTGTTGAGAAAATTCCGACTTTGACTGGTATTGGGCTCGTCCCGCAACGTCGGCCACATTATGGCAGCCACGGAATCCATTTTGATTGGCTGAGATCCTAATTCGAAGAACCTTGGTCACAAACGCTGAGCTACTTGCTCTTAGGGAGGCTGGAACAAAAACAAAAGCCGCAAACAGTAAAAGAGAAGCATGACCATTGTACCGTGAATTTATAAAAGCTGTGCACAACTACACATTATTTGATCACTGCCAACTGGCCTGTCCAGAAATTCTCCCTCTTAAAACACATGACTTGTGAACCCTCAGCCTTTTGTAAACGAGCCAACCATTTTAGTGAGAAACTTGAAGGCGCAGGGAGAATGTTGCTTTCAAGTCCGAATGATCGATATTATCCCCTAAACCAGTGTGCAAAAGACGCAGCTAAGAGGCTGCAAAAGGATTGTGCTGAAACAAGTAGGAGGCTGGCGTGGAAACCCAGCCCCTCTTGCTTCTCACGAGCTATGTTTCATAGTGGGCATGAATCAGCAGAACTGTCAACTTCCGACAATTTCTAAGTACTGAAGAGACCTACCAGTCAGAAGGAAGCACTCTGAAGACTTTTGTATTTCTCAGAACAAAGGTTACAACCGAGAACTTTGACCGCAATTTGCTCTGCAAGGGATTTAGGTGCTCCGGCATGCTATAGCGCCACAAATGCGGCAGTGCCTTTCAAAGGATGTGCCATTCCAACCGGCAGACCATGGCTTGATTTCATGCTGGACAACAAGCGCCATTAACGGTGTATACCTAGCCAAATGGCAAGATTTAGCAGAAACGCCAAGGATGTGGTGTTAATGGCAAGACGTCCATCATTTGCTGCTGATCGTGAAGGCTTCGAGTATGCACCAGTCCAATCCAATCCCCAGACAGAATTCTCATAAGGACTTTCACAACACGGATCCAAACAGTGTGGTGAAGCTGTCAAACCTTGAAAATCCTTGTTGTGCATGCAGCGACCATACATGTCCACCTGGATACCCAATTCCTGCATTTTTGCCACAGCCTGCAATCGGAAGGTCTTTCCACCACAGTTGCTGATAACCGCCATTGCTGCCTTCCGCTTTTTTTCAAATGGCAACGCAGGCGCAAAAATGTCAATATCTAATGCGGAACCGCGGCCCACATAGGGTATTGGTACATCCGATGCCAGCTCTGAGGTCATGACAATGTTGTAACCTGCACGGTGCGCTCTTTCAATAGCAAGGCCGCCGAACCGGACGGGGGATTCAGTATTGCGAAGGACCAAAAAGCCGTGCGAGTAATCCTTGTTGTCTAAGGGGGATGACGGCCACTGTTCAGTTCGGGCATCCCAATGTGTAACGGTTGCACTCTCGACCGCTTTGTGAAAGATTGACCTGTAAGCAGGATAGTGTGACGATATGCTTCCAGCATTCTACACACGCAGTATCTTAATAAATTGTGGGTCTGGCATCTAAAACAGGAGGTTTGCATAGAAAAAGAGCCTGCTGGCGTGGAAGGCACAAAACTCAAAACAAGCCAACAGATCCAACGGTTGCTCCTAGATAGATGGCTGAGGGCACTGCTAAAACCCAAGTACTGTGTTTGTAGCTAGTCTTGCCCCAACCAAGCTCTCCTTGTGTGTGCCCCATTTGGTCCTTTTGAAGATCCTCAAGATCTCATATAACAAGCTAGACAAGGCTGTAGGGGTGAACATGTACTAGCTCTTAGTAAGCACTGTAAAGATAAGGCTCTACTGACATACTGAGCCAGTTGACGCTGAAGCTTACCTACAAGGAATGTCACATGCCTGCAAGTCTTTATCTGTTGCCCTGAACCAATATGGGAAGCCAACTTCGTAGATGTTAACTGGGTCAATTTCGAAGTCCCTGCCCATCGGATTGTGCAAGCTTGAGGCCTGATCTTTGCCCTCGAACCATGCTTGGCATGTGGAAATGCTTGCGGACACTCTATGGTGGCTTCCAATGCCCACATCCAGAAATTGCTTAGAGTTGTAGCTGCTGGTGGTATAGAAAGAGAGTACGACTAGCAGCCCCAAAGCGATCCCGAATAAGCGTACTATTTGGTAGCACCAGGCACTTGCGGCCATATTTGGCAAACCGATCAGAAATGGCGCTTTGAGGTAGCGAGGCATTGTGTCGCGATGGACAGCGACCTGGCAGGACCACAACCCTGAAGAGTTGTATTGTGCCTTTACCGAAGTGGTTGCGATATTTGCTGGTTTGCCTTTGGCAGACAGGAAGAATAAATTCAATTGAAGATTCGCAGCGGAAGGATTCCGGTATAGGACTACTGTATAATAGATATGTGTTATGAGAGCCTCCTGATTCTATTTTTTTTTTTTTTTTTAAAGTTGAACTAGGCGTTTTAATTTACGGCGTAACACAGGTTGACTGTTGTGCTTTACGGCGTCATTTACGGTCGCTTTACGGTACGCCGTAATTTTGCGGTTATGATTCCACTTTGGTAAAGCAATGGCACCGTAAAGCAAAGAGATGCCTCATGCAGAGCGTTACCGACCAAAAAATTGCATTTTCAAAGCATAAATGGCAATAAAGTAATAGCCCATTCATAACCACCCAAATATATAGTAAATATAGCAAAAATCAAGAAAAACAATGAACTTGTTTAGAAGCGCGGGTAACCCAAAACTTCTCTTAACCCAGATGTAGCTTTGCTTTACGCTTTACACTTGCGCCTTACCACTTGTAAATCAAAAATCGGACCGTCATTACACCGTAACGCCCAAACCGTAATTACTATTGCTTTACCAGGCCTGACCGTAATTACGGCGTAAATTACCGGGTAATTTACGGTACGGTAATTACACCGTAATGTAAAACCAAAAGCGCCTAAAAACCGAGGATTGCAATGAAATGAGAAGTTGTACAGATGATATCACCGGCGAACCCTCCGACATATCATATAGGGGTTTGGTGGGTCCCCGACGCAAAACGTACACAACTTGTGAACTCCTTTCGAAATTTCGGACGCGGACGGTTTCTGCCCAGTGTTTCGAGTGGTACCGTCGCGATAAGACTCAGCGGACGGTAT